TCTGTGTATGTGACAGAAGACTTTTAGCAAAAATACATCAGACAGACTCCTATCTACCCAATAATAAAAAAGACACATAATCCTAAACAATGGAACAGCCACTTCACAAAGGACGATTAGAATGGCCAACAAACACAGGAACAGGACTCATCACTGGTGACCAAGGAAAGGCAAATTAATGCCCACTAGAAAGGCTGAAATTAAAAAGATGAAACCAGAAGCTGGTGAGGATGTGGAACAACTGTAATTCCCAAACAGCACTGGCACAACCACTTTGGAAAAACAGGCATTGCTTGGAAAGGTAACCTGTATCTACCTAGGACCCAGAACTCTGTTCCGTGGCATTCACCAAAAAGAAATGAAAACATACGTCCACAAAGACTTGCCCAAGAATGCTTAGAGCAGCTTTATTTATTAGCTGGAAAAGCCAACCAACAGTAAAATGAAAACACAAATTTGCAAACACCATTACCTGATAAAAGATTAACACCCAGAACACGGAGAGAACTCCTAAACCCCGCAACAATACAAGAGACCACCCGACTCAGAAATGGGCAACGGACTTGAACAGACATCCTCCAACGAAAATACAGGCCCACAAGCATGTGAGAAGATATCTGTTCAGCATCACTGACCATCAGGAAAATGCGAATCAAAACCACAGAGAGACACCACCTCATGAAAACTATGAGTGCTGGCGAGGGTGTGGTGAAACCAGAGCCCTCAAGCACTGTTGCACTGTTGGCGGGGAACGTAACGTGGTGCAACCGATGTGGAAAAGTGTAGGGGTTCCTCAAAAAATTAAAAGTAGAATTTCCACACACTTCAGTAATTCTGCTTCTGGGTATACACCCAAAGGAATTGAAAGGAGGGTAGGGTCTCGAAGAGACACGGGTATTCCCATGTTCGTATTAGCATTATTCACAATGTCTAAAACAGAGCAGCCACCCAGGCCCCTCAACAGATGGCTGGATCAGTAAAATGTGGGATAGCTGTCCTTCAGCCGTAAGAAGGAAGGAAATTCTCCAACATGCAGCAACATGGATGAGCCATGAGGACATTATGCTGAGTGAAGGAGACCAGTCACGAAGTACAAATACTGAACGATTCCACATACGTGAGGTCCCCAGGGTTGTCAAAGTCATAAAGACAGAAAGCATATGGTGGTGCCCGGGGCTGGAGAGTGGGGCCAAGGAGGAGATAGTACTTCCTGGGGCCGGGGTTTCAGCTTTACAAGAGGTGAAGGGTTCTGGGGATGGATGGGGGTGACCACTGCCCAAGAGTGTGAACATGCTTAATGCCACCAAACCACAGCGCTTAAAACCAGTGAAGATGGCCAAGTTTATGTTGTGTATTTTTACTACAAGAGAAAAAAGACATTAAAAAATAAAAGTCAGAATACCACTGAACTGTACACTTTAAAATTCTTTTAGGCCTTGTGAATTTCTCAGTGAAATATTTTTTAAAAAGACAAACCAAACAAACAATTTTCAAAAGATAAGTGAGTGGATATCTTTCTTAAAGCCCCGAGGGAACCCCAACATTCAGGACAAAACAGAAGAGCCGGCAGCAGATCCCCTCATTCAGCGCTCCCCCCGCCCATCTCCCCCTCCGCCGCACACACAGGGCGCACTCGGCGGGTGCCCCTCCCCCCCCCCACACACACAGTGGGCACTCTGGGCAGATGGAGGGCAGAGGCCCAGGTTGAGCAGGTGGAGGTGTGGCTACGCCATATGGAGGGCGCCATGGTGATGCTGGGACACCCGGCTCGCTGCAAGGGACGAGCCAGGTTATCCTGAAACATTTCCAGGAAACCCTCAAGACGCCTCTATTTCCAAGTTCTACAAGTGCAAATTCACATCATTTCAGAATAAATCAAGGCATGATTCGCACATGCCCAATACAGATCGTCAAAATATTTGGCTCTGAGGAATCCCAGGCACCTGGCGAGCACCCAGATCTTTGTTACAGGGACTTGTCTTGTCCAGAGAATACCAGCAAACACGTAAATAACAGACCAGCTCACCTTCCCCTTCTAGACATCCGGGAGGTATTCTGCCATGTGACTCCAAAAAGAAGGGCTGTTTTGATCCCTGGCAGCCCGTGGGGGCTGGCACTTCTGACGTAAAAATGCAACAGAGGACCTTGGGCCCGATTGTTTTTACGGCTGCCTTCGTTCTGTGTCTGTCTCTCAGGTCCTGGGAAGTCTGCTTTCTCGGCAAACGCTGAGGGAGCCCACACTCCCGCAGCTGCCAGCGTTCCAAAACGCGCCGCCCCGTGCGGGCACACTGTCCCCACGCACTCAGATTCCCGGGAAGGAAGCTGTCTGGTGGGAACAAGTACCCCTCCGGCTCTTCACCGCCAGCCCAAGACAAACCACCCAGGCTTCAGCTGTGCTGGCTAAACACAAGATGCGAAAGCCCCACAGCGGACCGCCACCAAGGGGCGTGTCTTCTCAAAACCGTTTCTCTAGTTTGTTTTTAGTGACCGAACAAAACACTCAGGACCAAAAACTTCTCTCAGACACAGGCGACTGGGTGTAAGCTGGACACACTCCAGCCCAGATGGTGTCTCCCCATCCGGATAAACCAGGTAAAAGTGACCTGTCTCACAAAGGGCCTCAGGAGACTGAGGCCCGTAGCTCCCGGTCCAAAGCGTGAGGAGTAATGGAACACGGGGTTAAGGGACGCGGCCAGGCCATCCTGACAACAGGTCGCAGCACGAAAGGCAGCATCCGTGAGGGAGACGACCGTGGCTGCCCCAGTCGTGCAGGAAGACCTGCTTCAGAAACCGTTTTCCAAAGAAAAGTACAGTTAGCTTTCTGGCTCTGCCAGTTCCGATTCAGGAAAGGAGGCGAAGAATGTGCACGCGGGCTGCCTGGGCATCGATCGGGTGATACTGGAGAAACCCGCGTTAGGCGTTTAGGCACGTCAACGGTTTTGCAGTGGTGTTTTTAAGCCCCACCGTTGGGAGACACGTACCGAACCGTTCAGAGAGGCAGCGATGGGCTGTCTGGAACCTACGCGTCTGGCCGTGAGCAGGTAACTTCTGGGTCCACCACAGGCTTCTCTCTGCCATCGTATTTGAAATCTTCCACAACGAAAGGGTTAAAGGAAGAAAAGAAACGTACGTGCCACGACGTTCACGGTAACGAAAGCAGGTCGTGACTGGATTTTGCTTGAAAATAAATCAAAACGGACTGTGGGAGTCAGTGCAGACAGCAGAGGGCAGTGCACACAGGTGTAACACCACTGGGCCACCCGGTTCGTTTCACTGTTCGCCGTCTGCCTTAGTTCGTGTCTGAAGCATCCGCCATACGAAGCTCTAACTCAGGGAAGGAAGGGGAGACCTACAGGTGGAACGCAAGTGAAGAGTGTGCCCCACGACGGCCCAGAGAGGGTCCCAGGGCGAGCTGGCTGCGGCCTGTCCCCCCCACCCGCCCGGGCCACACCCCACCACCTGCCACGGGTTAAGCATTTCCATGAAGAGTTAACAAAATAATAAAGTGTCACGTGAGACACATCCCTTCCTGCTTAGGTGCTTTGTAATCACAAGCAAATCGACACTGTATGCGACACCATATGTTACATCATTACGTGGTATGACCACAGTCAACATTCTGGCGGGACACCATCTACGTATGGGACACAGAGGGCGCCGCGTCTCCCACCGCCACCCACGTCCTCCCAAGGGCAGCTCTGGGGTTCCAGCCCCAGAAGGCCCTCCCTCCCCGCAGAGCCCCCCCCCACCCAGGCCCAGGATGCCCACCCCAGGCAGCCAGGCATGCTCACACACGGCTGCATCTTAGATACAGTTCCTGGTAATAAATAAAGAAAAGCAACCTGGGAAGGACACAGTGTGACCGTGTGTCCAGCTACAATCACAACACCTGCCTCCAGATTTGCTCACCTGATCAGGACTCGCGATTATGCTGATCTGAGGTGTGGATGGCAGAGAGGTCAGCTCACTGCTGCCAGAGAACATGAGAAGATACAACCGCCCCTCCGCTCAGCACCCTGTCCCCTTCCTAAGGCGCACCCCGGGGGCCGTGCTCAGTCCCGCTCCTCAGACTGGCCACCATGGAAGGTACCCGGTCATCCTGGTTTTGTTTTTGACCTACTTGTTAAATTGATAACTTGCTTTTTCAAATGGAAACCGGAATCTTAAGTGTGGCATGATCTGGGTTTTCCAAAGAATCGACCTCCATGATGTAAATGATGTCTATATGCTATACCGTGACCTCTGAATAAGGCAGGGGTGTGGGTACCGACCCCCACATGGTCAAAAACCTGCGTGGAACTTTTGACTCTCCAAAAACATAACTGCCAAAAGCCTACAGCTGACCAAAAGCCTTACCAATAACAGAAACAGTCGATTAACACATGTTTTGTATGGGTACGTATTATATGCTGTATTCTTACAGTAAAATCGGCTGGAGAAAAAAAAAAACGTCATTAAGAAAATCGTAACAAAAAAAAGAAAATATTAAGAAAAAAATACACGTACAGTACTCGACTGTATTTACCAAAAAACACCTGTTAGAAGTGGATCCTGTGTTGCTCAAGGGTCAACCGTATTTCTTCCAACTGAACCCTACAAATCCTTGCTCTTAGTTATGACATAAGCACATTATCAAGTCACTGTAAGACATTTATCACTTGTCCAGATTCAAGCTTTACTACACTTAATATCATATGAAAAATACATTAAGATGAACTCAGTTTCCAAAATAAGTATCAATCTGGTAATTGTGAATTAACGCTGTGGTCATGCCCACCTGTTGCACTCTTTATTACCACCGGCTGGCAGAGCGTCCTATCACCACAGAGACGGGAAATGACAGTGACAAAGCAATCGCTAGGGAGAAGTGTTTTGTAGGCTCACGATCGCAATCTACACCTGTCACCCACACTGCTAATATTACGCGGCTCTTAACAGAAACAACATTAGTGGCGACTTTGTTGACTCTCGGGGCACGGAGCCCAGGGCCGGGTTCTCACCTTGCCGTCTGCCCCTGAAGGGCTGTTGAACACGTACTCCAGCTGAAAGACGATGGCGAACGCAGGGTGACGGATCAGCTCACGGAGTCGGAGGCGGCTTCTCAAAACTAGAGCCTGGTTTCCAGAGCTGGGTCAAGAACAGGGCAGAGGCACGTCAGGCTGTGCCCCGCTGCCCTGCACCCACCTGGGCGCCGGGCGCTGCTGGTGCAGAGTCCCCCCCTCCCAGCAAGGCCACTGGGATCTTCTGTGTGTCCGGCCCCCAAGGCAGTTCCCAAATCAGAGCCTTTTCAGGTGCCTCAGTCAACACCTAAACAACAATTTCCAAATTGCCAGAGCATATGTGAGGAGGACAGAACGGTACGGCCAGGTCTCCAGGGAGGCTCGTCCTCCAGGGCGCCCGCCTCTGCCCGGATTCTCACGCGGCACTCCTCGGAGAGGTCTCAGGTTCTGACCTGGGAGGCACAGGACTCAACGGGATGCAGACCGTCCTGCCTGCTGGTTCTCCATCATGGGAGAAATGGATCACAGGCACAGCTGGGGGAAAGCGTGCCAGGGTCTCCTCAGACCCTAAGCAGCCATAGCGGGAGGCATCTCTAATAGCACAAATGAGGATTTTCCCAAGCTTATAACACTGAGGTCTGCTCCTGATGGGTACAAGTCGCCAAGACAAAACAAAGTCAGCCAGGAAGAACCCCAGGCGGGCGGTGCACACTTCTCGTGCAAAAACAAATTGCATTTCGCTCTGATCCCGGGTTACATGCACACTCATACCTCCTACCTCCGCAGGACCAGACCTCACATCCCCAGGAAGAATACCTGGCCTTTGAAGAAGAGCCAACTTTCCTGCTGAAACTGGCAGAGCGCGTCAAGGCCACGTCCATCTCGGGCACCAGCACCACGACCTGCGGCCTCTGCACGAAGCCCAGACCGTTGTGCACACCCACGCACAGGCGCCGCTCCAGGATCTCCAGCGTGCCGCTGTCCCGCGGAATGCCCTCCTGGGAAAGTACGCAGGAGACAGAGTAAGTCCCTGCGCGGGCTGGCAGAAGCTCCCGGGGGAGGGGCAAGCAGAGAGAAGAACGTTCAACAGAAGTTGCAGGAGTTTGCAGATCAGATGGTGCTGAGTGAACAGGAGTCCAAGCAAATGACAGGCAAATAAGGCCATCGAAACTACTGGCCCTAGGCCATTTTCTAGGTAGTTTTAGCTTTTCTCACAAGGACAGCCTTCTGGGAGCAATGCACCCCGACACCACCTCCCCAAAGACGCCCGAATCGTTGAACTCTTGCTCAGGCTTCTGTGGCGGAGCTCAATTCTCAAGGCGCACCAAACAAGCAAGCAGGGACCCAGGCCCCAGGGTGCAGGAGCCCACCGCCCCCGAGGCGCCTCCCCCCCCCCCGACACTCAGACACCGGAGACTTGGGCACAGGGGGCAGCAGGAACAGGGAGCATGTTTACGTGGGAAGTCATAAACCAATAAACATGGACTCTGCCCCAAAGTGATCGCTGGATATTAAAGTGTTTCATCTTAACAAAAAATGTACAGGCACTTTAACAAATGAGCAAGGATAGTCCTCCAGGCTATTACTGTTTATTAAATTGTGTGATCGTTGCAGAACGGTCCCTGAATTTTCAAGTTTTCTTCACTGCCCATTAATCAAGCTGAACAGACCTAAACTCAGCCTATGAGTAATGAAAATAAAGCGATGGAGGTAAGAGACCAGCTACCAGTTGGGTAGGAACAAAAATACAAAGCAGTAAACCACGTGAGAAAGTGATTTTTATGGGAACACATAGAATTCAATGCTGATGCTCCTAAAGCAGCTCTCCCCTCACGCAGTCCACTCCGAGCAGCAAGAACACAGCGGGAACCACAGCAAGAAAATGTGTGCTGCTATGGTTCCACCCCGTTCTCTGCTTGCGTTTCCGTGTCATGCGACACATCACAGGGAGCTGCCTTTTCGAGGACGGGTAGTGAGCACAGAGTCCGTCTCACCCGTGCGCGCCGTACTGCCACAGAGTGCCGGGGGGGCACCCGCTGGTGGCATCACCCACCGTCACGGCACGTGAAGACTGAAGGTCCGTGACGGGACGGCACGGTGTGACGCACCTCGGCTGCAGCGGCGAACCAGCCAAGTCCCTGTCCTCCGGGTGCAAATACCCCACCGAGGGGACGACGACAGAGGAGCAGACAGGTAAGGAGACCGGGTGCTCTCGGGGAGGGCCAGGCACCCGGAGAAATGAGCCAGGGGGCGGGAGGGGCCGCGGCCTCAGCAGCACGCTCAGGTGGCCGGTCAGGACAGCTGGGTTCGCACAGAGACCTGAAGCCTGAGAGGAGCCACGTGAGAGTCTGGACACAGAATGTCCAGGAACGTGGGCTACGTGTCCAAAGGTCACCGTAGGGACGAGCTATGGCCCGTGACTGCCCGGAGTTTATGGGAATGTGTCACACGGGCAGGTGGAACTGGACACTGTGAGAGGAAGCCCCGTTCACAGAACGCGGCTCCACTGGGATAAAATGACAGATTTCTAGTCTTCTCCTTGGAATGAGCCAAGAATCTCGAAAACGGCCTTTGTAAGTGCAGAATGTTTTACTGGTTTCCCTATGCTCATTTGGAGGTTTAATTTATTTTTAAATGAAGACTGTTTTAAGATATAACAAAACCAACGTTAGCAGCTTACGGTAACAACACCTTTGTCACACCGAAGTTAAGACGACAGGCTAGATGTCCCTCTTCAGCCACAAAGAGGGAGCACACGGGACCGTGTCATCAGGGGCTGAGCCGTCCACCCTAGTGGCATCAGAGGCCGGCAGCATCCCCATCTCTGCCCTGCCCTGCCCGCGTCTCTGCTGATCAGATAAAGTTCCCTGATGGAAGACAGTACCTCCCGGAAGCGATCACTGACGAGGAGTTCCAGAAGCTCTTCCTCAAATTTCTCCAGGGAAGGATAGAGCGTGAAGAACAAATCATCCAAGTCCCACGTGACAGACTTCTGAAGGCGAGGCTTTCGGAGGGCATCCCCTGAAAACAATGAGGGGGCTCGTGTAGAGTATCCGCGGGGAGGCCACGAGGGGGTCCAGGGCTCTCCCCCACTGAGGGCCAGGCCGTGGTGCCCGCCCTCCGGGCAGAGGAGAGACCACGGGCACGGCACTCAGACCGAATCAGAACCCACCTCCATTCACACGGAGACACCAAGCTGATTCAACAAACCCAGATTTCATTTACGGCCCAATTTCTCCCTCCACCCTCCTCCAGACACACGTTTTATAATTCAGCAATCCAAAGAACGCAGACTACAGAATACAGGCTAACATCTGTTCCTTTCGGTTTGGTTTCCCTTTGTCACTGACTTCCTCTCTAGCGAGAACCCAGCCAACGATGCCGTTTCTTATTTTTGTACATTTACCTTGAACCATTTGGAAACATGCAGAAATACTCACGAGCACGTTAAGGCAACAAGCAAAAACACTGTCTGGGCTGGCACCACCAGGCAAGAGCCCCTGTCCTGGTCAGGAAGCAGCCCCAGACTAGGAGCTCCGTGAGGACAGAAGGGGACGGTGGATCCTGGCATCTAGCTCGGTGCCCGGCTCAGAACAGGTGCATAAACCCTCGGCCTCAAGGGGCGCAGTCAGATCTGTGCAGAGCCCTCCCCTCTGGGCTGTGGCGCAAAGACCAGGGCAGCAGGACAAAGGCTAAGCCCACTGCTTCCCCACGAGCCCACAGCCCAGGCTCTGGCACCATGGCCCCAATCCCTGCATTCGATCTTCCTGCCCTGCCGCCCTCTTTGTCTCTTCCCGAGCTTCTACAAGTAAGAATTAAGGTGCAAAGTCAGACTTTCAGAGCCGATTCCGAAGTCAGAGAACGAAAACAATCGATGTGACACTGGCGGAGGAGAGCGCAGTGAGATCCCCCCGACGTCCTGCAGAAGGTCAATCAGCACAGCCAGAGGGACCCCGTCGTTGCCCCCACGTGTACCAAGACCCTTAAAAATATCCACAGCCACCTTCGGCCTCGGTGATTCCACTTTTTCATCCTATTCAGCAAAATTAATCAAATGTAGAAGCAAAGCTTTATGTGCGAGAATACTCATGAAACCTGATTTATAACAGAAAAAAAATAAGAAACTACCTAGCACTCACTAGTGGGGGATGCTGAATAAACTACTGTGTGTCCATTTAAAATGAGAATGAACTCATATCGCCAAGGATGACTTCATGACTGAAAAGCAATCATAGCATCGTAGGTGAAAATAATCCACATAAAATTGTGCATCAGACCCTTTAGTGCCAGTTTTTCTTAAAAATCTATGCTCGTACAAGGACACAGACACCTGGGGGCAGTAGTCGCAGATTATTCCATTTCCTTCTTTACGGTTTTTCTACACCTTCCCCGTCACAAACACGCATCAGATTTGATGCTTCTGAGAAATTTTCTGCATTCCTCTGTAACTTAAAAAGGAGCATCTGAAGCCGGTCGGTTGATGAGTCAGAACCCATTAAAAGTGCAGGTATAATTACTCACAATGGCCAGAAGGTAAAAATAACCCAGCGTCCAACAGCAGATGAACGGATGAGAAAAACGTGGTCAACCCACACGTGGAATATTCTCCAGCCTTCAGAGGGAAGGAAATTCTGACACACGGATGACCCTTGAAGATGTTATGCTAAATGAAACAAGACAGTCACAAAAAGGGCGAATCCTGGGTGATTCCAGTCACGCGAAGTACCAGAAACAGTCAAAGTCAGAGACAGAACGCAGAAGGGTGGGCGCCAGGGGCTAGGGGGTGGGGGTGGAGAGTGTAGACAAGGAAGTTCTGGCCGTGGATGGTGGGGGTGGGTACACAGCAACGTGAATGTACTTAATGCCACAAAAGTACACGTTTTAAGCTGCTCACGTGGCAAATCTCATGCCATATCGACTTTCCCACAATTTTTCTTTAGAGTCCAACCTTTCTCGAAATGGTCCAGCAAGTGTCTGAGGCACATCCTGAATGGAGACCTTCCGTCAGAGGAGGAAGAACCGCATGTTTGCACAGCCTGGCCCTGAGGAGCAGAAACCACAGCCCCAGGGCCTCCCCCCACACAGGCCGACGGGCCACATGGGATTGCTCACACAGGATTTCACAGAAGACGAGGCAGGGAGGCCACGGCCCTCCGGAGGCAGAGAAAGGAGGAGCCGGGACCGATCCCTGGCCAGTCGGACCCGGGCAGGTGGCGCAGGTGAACGAGAGAGCACCAGCGGCGACGCAGACCGGGAAGCGAGCACGCGGATGCAGCAGGAAGTTGAGGAAAAGGAGGACAACGTAAAAGCGAGTCTGTTATCTCGTTCTTTTTATAGGCTCCACGCTTCCCGTCAAGTAGAGAGCAAGGGCACGTTAGTCACTCGCCCACACGGTGGGCAAATAGGCTCAGTCCTCTAGCGGCCCTGGTGGCACCCTCAGCACACGGCCGGCGCCCTTCTCCCACAGTCACCAGAAGGAACACATTGCCCGCACACGCATGCTGCCTCGGAGCACAAGCAACTCCTTCGCGGGTCACCGAACAATCCCTCCGCTCTTGACTGTGGCTGAACTGTCGGCCAACACAGCTGGCCAGAGACAGGGGCCAGTCTTGAGGGCTCCAAGGGGGCACAGTGGCCCTCAAGCTCCCGGCGAGACCCCCCACTACTGGCCTTAATGCAGTGGGACCACTTCCCCCTGCCCCCGACCTGGGCTCTGGTCACTGGCCCGAGGCACCCTGGGGCGGGGGGACAACCAGCTGTGCCCAGCGCCCTCCCGCCTGATGATCCTGTGCCAGCAATGAAGAAGGGCGCCGTCACCCTGCACGACACGGCCCGCGGGCAGGGAGGAAGGGAGCAGCCACACCGCACGACACAGCCCGCCGGTCACCTTCTAGGTGCGGAGAATAACATGCCCTCGGTGCCCACCTCTCCCAAGTGCTAAGCCTTGTTTCTGCAGAAACACAAAGGGGAAGCCCCGGGGCCCGCCCACCACGACCCGCTTCTCCCCGAGCTACTCCTGGGCAGCCCCCGGGCCACAGGTCCTTCCGGGGTTCCAAAAGCACCACTGACCGTGGAAAGACAGCCCACTGTCTGCAGGCTGCAACCAAACGCAAAACCTTGGCCCAGGACCAGGAGCATCACAGCCAGGACAGAGCCACGCATGCAGCGGTCGCTCAGAGCACGACAGCCAAGCGGCTCGGCAGGAAGGCAGAAGTACAGGAGGCAGCGGGGAGCAGGAGACAGAAGAACAGGGTGGAGAGGCACACCGGCAGCGACACAACAGCTCCAGGGCCCAACGTAACACGCGACGGCGACAACAGACCAAGGACAGGCCGGCCACCAGCAGGCCACCAGCAGGCCACAGCAGGCGCGGAGCCACATCCGAGACGCAGCAGATGGGGACGGGCTGGGCCCTGCGAAGCACAGGGGACGGTCACCAAACCAGGGCCCGTCAGCAGGAAGAGGACAGGCTGGCAGCGGGGTCTCCATTTCCCTGGGCCGACGCCACCGCCCTCCGGGGAGGGCTCGTGTGTCTTCCCGGCAGTCAGAATGAACTGTGCGCCTCCTGGAACCAGGGAGGGTAGCGGGGAGGTTACGTGCGCTCCGGGGCCGGGGGCCGGGTGTGAACCCCAGTTCTAATCCTCAGCCTCCTCAGCTGCGAAAGCAAGGTGACAGCGCCCACTGCAGGACGGCGCTGCGGGGACCGAGCTAATACGTCAACGCTGTGCCCTGGAGAGGAGCCACGAGCTCGGAGTCACGGGCTCCTGGGAAAGGGCGCACACATATGTGTACGTATCTCCCAGACTGTCATCTTAAAGCCTCAGCACGGCTCATCCCGGGAAGAGTCTATTCTCTTTATCTTACAAAGGCAAACGGGGCTTGGACAGCTAAGTGACTGGCCCGAGGCCACCCCACTCACAGGAACGTGCATGAGGGAGACTCAAATACTCAAGCTGCTGAGCACACGTCCACGAAGGGCCAAGCAAGTACCGTGAGGACTTCAGGGAACGAGTGGATTCGCAGATGCAGAATCCGTGAGTAACCAGGGCGGGGAGTGCTGGGAGCAGTGGACTCAGGCAGAACTTGGGGCGCTGGCTGAAGCCAGCCCTTGCAGAGACGGGCCGGCAGCACAGACGAACGGACAGACTCACGCTGTGTGCTGCCGCCACGGCCCATCCCGCGGCGAACCCGCTCCCCCTCGCCAGTCGCCCACGTACGTAAACTGAAATGAACTAAATCGGTGGGGGGCGCGGGCCATTTCCCAGACAGATCTCCCCTGGGATGAGTCCTTCTGGTACCACAGCTCTAGGGGTGACAGCGCGGCAGCGGGGGCGAGCCCCGGGTGTTAGGAAGGGGGCAGGGCCCAGCGCTTCTGGAAAGGACCCGGTCCAGCAGGAAGCAGGCTCTGCACAGCCTCCCCATGACAAGAGCCATCAGCGACAACAAGAAGAGCCATGACCCGGGGCGCCTAGGTGGCTCCGTCGGTTGAGTGTCCAACTTCGACTCAGGTCACGATCTCACAGTTCATGAGTTCAAGCCCCGTGTCAGGCTCTGTGCTGACAGCTCAGAGCCTGGAGCCTGCTTCAGATTCTGTGCCTCCCTCACACTGCCCCTCCCCCGCTCATGCTCGCTCGCGCGCTCTCTCTCTCTCTCTCAAAAATATATAAACATTAAAAATAAATTAAAAAAAAAATAAGAGCCATGACCCTGGTCTCACAGTGAGGAAGAGCGTCCCAGGCACAGAAGGGGGGGAGGAGGGAGGAAGGACACCTCTTCCATCAGGACACCAGGCTGAAGAGCCGTATCTGCACTGGCCACATAGAACCTTCTACAGCCTGAAGGACCCGGGAGGCAGGGCTGGCTGGCATCCGGCAAGCTGTCCCCCGGCCACGTCTTGTGAAAGGCACAGGCTCCAGAGAAGGGCTCTCAGCAAAGCAGGCCTCCCCGGATGCTGTACCGCAGAAGGCAGCCCCAGGGCAGCCACAGCAGAGGACAGTGTCCCATGGAGAAAGGACAAGAGGTCCTGGGCTGAGCCCTTTCCAAGTCCTTGGCACTGGGCTCCACCAGCCCGGTCATCTGCTCCCAAAGGCATCTCCGGGACAGGTCCCAAGAATGTCCCCCATTTTATGGAGAAAACGCAGCAGCAGAGACTGGGAGAGCTTAGGAAACTCAGGGCTCACCCCCACAGCCAGGAGTGGAGCCATGCTCACCAAGGTCTGTCGGCCCCACTGGACGGCTCCAACACCACCGTCTGTATGTACTTGCTCAGTGCACCACCCACCTCAGCGGCCAGGATAGATGGAGCCTCGGCAGAACCGACCTCCCCAGGGGGCAGCTCTTGGCCCTCATGCTCTGTAACTGGGCCTAGCTTTCATGTGTCTGTTGCCAAGCCTTTGGGTACAAATCTATTTCCCCAAAATAGCACTGCTCCTATGGGAAACAGACCCATTTCCCTCAGGGATTCCCACGCACGCATTGCCGAGAAAATGGGGGTTACAGGTGCTGAACAAGCAAGAATTCCCTCCTAGTGACATCCTTTGGGGAGGTGCTCGGAAACACCCCCAGGTGCCCAAGGAGCTCCCCACGAGGTCCCAACAGGGTCCACAACCTCCCGGGGACACAGCTCTCCTGGAAGGATACTGGATTCATCAGAACGCACCCTACCACACGAACAGCGCTGCAAGAGAGGCAACGGGAAGAAAGGAGGCTGAGACATGGCGCTTCTACAACACCTGCTGCCTCCGATGGCCGTGGTGAGGCGTGGGGTCTGCCCCTGCTGAAATCCACCCAAGACATGAGCACTCCACTAAGAGGCGCGCGCCGTGCCCTCACCCCTGCTCAGGGCCTGTGCACACAGATGCACCCAGTGAGCCTTCCTGAATCCCAGACAAACCAGAGCATCGGTGGCCAGAAAAGGTATAAAGGTGCACACCACACTGGGGGCGGTGGCTTTCTCTGGGGCGGTTCCCTGGGGACTGAGGCCGGAAGGAAGACTACCTTTGTCGTGTTAAAACTGGAGCTCACACAGGGCAGGAGCCTGCTCTGCTGGCACCACCCCTGCCCACCGGCGCCCCGCGCTCACATGGGGCAATCCAGAAGCCGAATCCCCTCCTCACAAGGATCTGAGTGGTCTGGGAGCCTGGGAGAAGAACCCCGCAGCCTCTGAGGTGCCTGGATGCCGTCTGCTGAAATGCACCATCAGCAGGTCAGGGGGCGGTGCATCCTTAAGGAGCACCTCAGGGCATTCCTGAGTGGAGACACCAACCAGAGCGGGCCACCATGTGGCAGCCGAGGGAGGGTCCGCGGGAAAAGGCCGCTTGCAGGGCATGTCTACAGGAGCGGACACGCAGGAGGGCGGGGCAGGGCCTTCCCAGTACAGAGCGGCCACTCAGTGAAACCAAAGGGAGGGACGAAGGAGGAAGGCAGTGAGGAAGGAAAGGTGGGAGGCAGATCACCAAAGCGGGTGTTCAGAGCGGATGAAGGGGTCAGAGAGCCACTGGTCTGCGGGTCAGGGAGGACGAAGGCTCACTGTGAGGACGGCCGTGGGGGAGGCGCACGCAGCAGGGACACCTCAGCGGCAGTCTTCCTCGGCCTCCCTGCCACGCACACATTCCCGGGACTCACGGCATCCAGACTACCTCTGTGACTTCCACACAGGTCTCCCCGGAGGCCCCGCCCCCCCCAGCCCAGATGCCGCCGCCCCACCCCCCCACCCCCCCCACCCCCACCCAGATGCCGCAGAGTCACAGCTCACTCCCACTGAGCCCCTGGCAGAGGTCCATGGTCAAGTGCTCTGCTCCAGACGCTGCCGTGGTGGCAGCTCGCTGGGTGTGGGGGGAGCGGGAGGCCCTCCGCTTTCCTCCAGCTAGAAGCACCATGGGACGTGGGCCCAGGACCCCCACACCTCCCTGAGCACCTGGCGAGGAAGCCTCGCTCGGGACTCCGTTCCGTCCTGGCGTGGGCCCGTGGCCTTCGGGCCCAGTTCTAGAAAACGGGCTTCCCACTTACATTGATGACCAGCTTCCACTGCACTCAGCCACTTTATGCAAAGCTCTGCATCTGCTCCAGGGCCGGATGAGCGACCCGAGCCCTCTCCCAAACCCATCTCCAGAGACCACCTCCCACGCCGAGAGAGGCAGCCGCACGGCACCGGGCCCATGACCGGCTCACAGCTCTGCGGCCACGAGAGCAGGCCAAGGAGCCCCAGGGCAGAGACTCGCTCGAAGCCAGGGTGTGGGGGCTCTCCTTGCAAGCAGCAGCTTTCAGGGGCACGTGAACAGTCAGCCTGGTGCTGATGCGGCTGTCCAGGCCTGTCACACAGAAGCAAGGGAAAGGTCAGAACCAAGCAAAGAACAGAAGACAGAGCGAGGGAGGCTGCATGGATTTCCTAGTTGCAGAGAAGAAACGACAGACCGACAGCACCTGCTAATCTGCACAGATTCTGAAAGCGTCCCTCGAAGGGAAGGCCTGCCTTTCTTCCAGGGAGTGACGAGGAGCCACCAGAACAACCACAATTAAAACCTGTCGTTTCCAGTCCCTCCCAGGCTGAAAACCACTCTTCAAAAGTCAGTCCTCACACAAAGCGGGGAGTCAAACTAGGGAAATGGGGAGAAGGTCGCTGACTGTGTTGCCATATCCTGGTCGTGACGTCGTGCGACAATTTGGGGCAAACTGGGCAAAGGACACACGGACTCTCCCTGCATTATTTGTTAAAACCACATGTGAATCTGGAATGACCTCAATAAAAATTTCCGCTAAACAAGTCTCAATCCTCCTGTACTGTGGCATTTCCCAAGCAAACAAATATCCACGTCCCCCCATGACAGCAAAATAAAGTCAGACCGGCTGCAAACTGCACGTGAATTCCACCACGGAAGCCGGTCCCAGTCCCTGCCTTGGCCCTTTCAGGGTGATAAAACGTCACCCAGCAAAGAAACCCTTTTCCAAGACTGAGTCACAAAAGCCCAGAAGACCCTGGGCAGGATTTATAACACAGACCGTAACCGCTGTCAGGACGCAAGCTGAGGGCCGCAAGGCCGTGAGCTAGATTTTCAACCTGGCATCCTGCACGCGAGGCAAAGGCTGAGCACAACGGGTTTCCTTTCTCAGAGTCTCAGGTGGTCACCGGGGGCCTTGGTGAGAAGCTGCATTCTGGTCCTTTCTCCCCGAGAAGGGGGAATGTGCCTGCCTGCCCACCCAAGCATATTCAGGCTCCACTCCACAGTCCCTGGTCATTGGTTTTTATTTTTTAAATTTTTTTTAATGTTATTTATTTTTGACAGAGAGAGAGAGAGAGAGACAGAGCATGAGCAGGAGGGGCAGAGAGAGAGAGAGACAGAATCCGAAGCAGGCTCCAGGCTCCGAGCTGTCAGCACAGAGCCCGACGCGAGGCTCGAACTCACAGACCGGGAGATCATGACCTGAGCCGAAGTTGGACGCTCCACCGACCGAGCCACCCAGGCACCCCATCCTGGTCATTGGTTTTTAAATATGACACAGAGGCGCCCGGGGGGCTCAGTTGGGTAAGCATCGGACTCTCGATCTCAGGTCAGGTCATGGCCTCAGGGTCACGAGATCGAGCCCTGTGGCTCGAGATTGGGCTCTGTGCTGCCAGCGTGGAGACTGCTTAGGACTCTCTCTCTCCCTCTCGCTGTCCCTCCCTCACTCACTTGTGTACAAGCGCTCGCTCTCTCTCTCTCAAAATAAATAAACTTTTAAGAAAACAACAACCTAAACTGTCATCAGTTTTGCAATTTCACAGGCACCGCCTGCATCCGGTAAGTGCCCCAGTGACCAGCTGGCTGCCCACACGAAGGGGGCAAATGGGAAGCCACTGGGGTTCAGATCCCTTCAGAAGACACGACCTTGGAGGACTCTGTAGCGGCCCCCCGACCCCTCGGACTGCCACGAGATACTGAGAACAGACCCGGGGCCGTCGGAGCTGCCCTCTTGCCCCAGCCGTAGTGACACAGACACAGGCCCCCGATGAGCTGTGGGTATTGCCAGGTTTTCCCTGCAGCTCTGCTGACACCCGCTGGCGAGTCTCAAAGTGATGGAGCCGCCTCGGGCCCCAACGAAAGGCTGCTTTCCCAGAACCCCAGGTCGGGTAAGACTTACGTAAGGGACTCTACGGCAGGTGTGCACCTAGGTTCTTGACATCAGCACACGGCACAGCGGCACTTACAGGGCCCTCCGTGACCGACGGGGCCAGGGTCTCCAAGCAGATGCAGGTTGTCACGTTGCTTTCAATCTCGACAGCAGAGACCCTGTGGCATTTTCTCTGTCTCCCTGTCTGTCCCCTCCTCCCTCTCGAGGGGACACAAGAGGATTACAGAGGGCGGTAAGACTTCCCATATGGGGCTGGGGGGTGGGGGGTTGAAGCTCAGCGAGCCACGGGAGACCCAAAGCCGGGACCAGTCCTAGGACTTGCTTCTGTTCATAGTTAATTTATCGTTTTTCACGCATCGTTATCTCTTCTCAGGAAAAACAGTGACCTCGTGATGAGATGACCCCCACGGACCCATCCAAGAAACTCATGAACTCAGATAACAACGTCTGCATCCCAGCACGGACCCGAACACCAAGCCACGTGCAGGGACACCGTTACTGGAAACATTCTCATACTGGAGCTGAACTACACCTTTTCTTTGGGTTCTTGAGAGTCGCTGTTCTAAGTCAAAACTCGGCACATCACAACTCACACTCACGCCCCATCCTGCTCTCCCTGGGCCAGAACAAGGAGCCAGACCACCCAGGACAAGAGGTTCTGCCATGCGGGCGGGAAAGAACTGGGGTGGTCCCTTCTCCTGGATTCCTCACGCAGCCGGACTAAAAACCCCTGGAAGTACCCAGAAGGAGCATGAGGCCCAGGTCAAGGCCCGTCAGCAGGACCCCAGAGCAGAGCACATCTCTGCAGTGATCTCCGAGGCATGAAGGGGTTGTCCCAAATCCACCGCTGGAGAACCTACTTCTAAATCACACCAAGACGGAGTCCTGAGGCTTCCACGTGGATTCCAGCGTTCAAAGATTACCAACCCACTGCACACCACGTTCATAACAGCATTAGGCACAACAGCCAAAAGGCGGAACGACCCAGGTGTCCATCCAAAGGTAAATGGATGAATACAACGTGGTCCATCCGTTCAATGGAATATTATTCAGCCTTAAAAAGGGAAGGAAATCCCAAAATGTGATTCAACACGATGACCCTTGAGGACACGATGCCAAGCGAAATAAGCTGGTCACAGAAGTGGAATCCTGATGATTCCACTTCTAGGAAGACCTCAGAGGAGTCAAATTCAGGGACAGAAAGAACGGTGGTGGCCAGGGGCTGGGGGAGGGGATATGGGGAGTGTGTATTTAGTGGGGACAGGGCTTCAGGTTGGGCCGATGAGAAGGTTCTGGATGTGGATGGTGGTGGTGGCGGCTGCACAACCACGAGAATGTGCTTAACGCTACCGAACTGCACACTTGAAGAGGGTCAGAATAGTAAATTCTGTGTCGTGTCTATTTCACCACAATTTAAAAGTAATTAATAATCGAGCCACGGACAGGGGCGTCCAGGAAGGCCGAGAGATCTAGCAAGTGGTTTTCCTGACCTTGGTCATAAAGATGTGAACTACATGTCTTACGAAAGCGTTTCCCCAGGAAAGAAAACAGAAGTGATCTGAGGGACACGAGACACCGCTCAGAAGGGATGACAGGCAGACAGGGCACTGCCCCTCCCTCCTCCTCCCTCTCATCCCCTC